ATACACAAACTGAAACTAAACATAAATGCAAACTGAAACTAAAACTAAACAGTTAATACACAGTCACAGTTAATCTGGCTGATGCCACATACACAACGTCACATGATAAAACTCGAGGATAAACTAAAACAATTGCAGGCCAACTGCTACATGTTACAACTTCATGCGAACACTTCACGTCTTCACTCTGACTATCAGATACACCGCGTACCTCGCCATCTGATTGGCTGATCACGGAAGCGAATTTTTGCTTTTTCCCTGCGGTTAACGTCTAGTCCATACATATAAAGGCTATATTAGTCCCTGGTCTAGTCAAATAGACGCTTTTCAGTAAAAGTGGCGAATTACCGCGAAGAGGGCGCTATCTACCGGAGTGAAAAACTTGCGTCTTTACACTTTACATACATTACGGTCAAAGAAAGAGTGGACTGCATGAAATTGCAATTAAACAGTGAGTGACGGCGCTTCACTCTCTATATGTACACTGCATGGTATGCAGCATGCAGGGATAATGCATTTCATAAAAATTTGGCGACCCCAAAAAACACTTCTGGCGACCCCCACAGGGGTCGCGACCCCTAGTTTGCGCACCACTGATCTATGGTACGGTTTGGCAATTCGCGTACCGAGATCTTTTGATCTCAGACCACATTTGTTATCTTTTCAACAATTTTAGCAGACCTGCAAAACCGCATCAACTGCTGCGGCGCACTCAGTAACACAATGCATGTTTTTTCGGACGAGTTTGGCGAATGCTTGTACATTTGTCGTACAGGAAAAGGGAGGACACATTGAACCATTGACTTAGTACCCTGCACAAAAAATAGAAATTATCCTTCATCTATCTATTATTGCATAGATTGTTTATTTCCAAATTATACTTCCGTTAAATGTAAATTAATAGAATTTGGTATTTTTTTAAATAGTGAGTATAGTCTTTTCAAAACATTCATAAAATCCTTTTTCAATGTTTTTAATCTCCATTTTGCTTATGATTCAGATGATAATGACGTCATTGAGTGATGATAATGACGTCAGATTTCATTATCATCACTCAAATACTAATAATTTTTTATTTTTGACAAAGCTTTAAGAAAGTCGGTGATTACGGAACAAGGTACATAGCTTCCCAAGCCAAAATTCTTGACGGTTCCGTCAAAAAAAGATGATGGTTTATGTTGGTTTTAGTGTGACTCATGATGGTCCGACATCGTTTGATGGTCACCATCATCCAACATTTCCATTATATGTTCATGGTTTTTAGAAGCTAACAAACTTCCATCATTCCATGATGATGGAAAATGCTACCTTTATACTATGATGGTTAACCATCAAGAGAAGTTTGACTCTCACGGACCAATTATGCATGATGGTTCATGATGGCTTAATGGGAATTTCTGATGGTTCAACATGAACAAACCATCAAAACAAGTTGTTATTCTTATGTTGGATCATTACAAATCTATCCGAATTCTTACATTAAGGAGATGGAATTATTGATGGTTACCATCAAGATTATGTTGGCCCATCAATAGGAAAACCATCAAAATTTTGACGTGGGTTTTTCTATTTCATACAATATATACACTATAAAAAAATTTGTTGCTTTCAGCTTGGCGAGATTGTTGTGTGTCGTCAGTATTAGCAGTACTTGGACTGTTATGTAAGGAACAGGGTGTCACCGCCTTGGCAATCTGCTGTGCATATGAATTATCACTGAGTAAGGTACGTGTATGAGTCTTTACTTATTGTTTTTTTTAAAAAGAACTTTAAATGCCAAGAAATTCATCTATATTTTATAATAGTTAGAAAAAAATATCGCTTCTGTATTAGTTAGAAAAAAATATTTGAACAAAAAAATTTAATGCTTAAAATAAATTATATTTCAGCAATCGGATAGTTGATATTCGAATAGAAGAAAAAGCTCTGAATGAAAATAACTTCATCTTGGCTTCTAAAAGTGTTGAGATTACTTTCTTACCACCAAATAATGTGAATATCTAGCCGGTCACTTCATTAGCTGTGGCTGGATTTTTTGAAATATTTATTATAGAGCCATGATGGCTCAGGGGGTAGGGCTCTCACCTTCCAATGAGGTGACCCGGTTTTGAACCCCAGCGATGGCTGGTCAGTAAGAATTTTGCATCTAGCTTGCACCGACCACAGTGATGACGCAAAACATCCTTAGTGATAGGCGGATCATGGGCTAAAGTCCCCTTGCCATCAGGCTAACTGTGGGAGGTTTTCGTGGTTTTCCTATCCATGTAACGCAAATATAGGTTAGTCCATCAAAAAAGTCCTGCACGAAGGCAAATTTCTCCCAATACTTGATCCAGGAGTTCCCTTGTCTTCTGGATAGGGTTCAAAATGACAAGGCTACAGAGTTGAACATAAGTAATCGTAAACCCTAAATTGGGTCGACTGTTCACGACTGTTAAAATATAAAAATATATTTATTATTAATTCTACTTTTTACTCCTCTTTGAATTACATTTTAAGGAAACAGGCTAAAGAGGGCATTTATCCTCATTCTCCGGTTTTCTCAATGCTTTGTTTTTTGAACTAAAATTTTAATTTTAAAAACTGGCATTTTTACTGATTTTCATGATTTAGAAATGGATACATAGTAATTTATCCGCAAAGATTAAAAGTAGGGGAGAGTAGGGTCAATTGTAACATTTTTTACTTAACTATTTTTAACTAACAAAAAATCCAATATATTATTAGTATTAATTGACAGACGAGTAAAGTAGACTATCCTCTACTAGAAAGAAAAAAAAACCTTATTTTAAATGCTATTATATTAGTTATTAACAATTTTTGGCAGTCGTGCACTTGTTACAATTGTCCCCACTTACGGGGACAACTGCAACAGTTCATAAATTCAACTAAAGCATAGTTAATTATTTATGCATATTATCATAGTTGTGATATATTTTTTATTGATCAAAATAGTAGTGATATTTTAGGAGTAAAAATAATAATGAGCAGAGACCTAAAGGGTTAAACTTTTTAAAGTTAAAAGTAAAGGGGCTAGAAATTTTAATTTATGCTGTGAAAGGTGACAAATAAAATAATGCACATGCAACATAATATAAATGATATAGGAAACTATTGGTGGTTCTTAAAGAGTTAAGTAATGGTTTGTCAACATAAGATTATTTATTTTCAGCTGTTACAATCGTCCCTTTACTTATTGTTACAATCGTCCCCAAGACGCCATTTCAGCTTCATTTGTTAAAAACAATGCTAGTTAATTAACAAAACTAATCTTTTTTTTTGAAATTTTAATTAAGGTGTCCATTTACATATTCGGTTAATAATTTTTATTTGTTTAAACAAAATTACTTGGTAACAATATAATATTCTAATACCAAAAAAAGTACTTACGTAGCGTGAAAATATCTTTTGCGATGTAACTCTTTCAAAAGTACATAAAAATGGTTACCAGTAGGGGTGTACTTGTAGATTCATTAAATACACCTTGTACGCCACCTAGGAACCAAATCTAGAGCCCGACACTCGAAATTTTTACTCTGTTACAATCGTCCTTTGTTACATTTGACCCCACTCTCCCCTACTGATAAAACAGAATTTAAATTTTTCCACTTAATAATAATGAACCAAGCTCGATACCTGATTAATCATTTATTGAAAAATGACATACTTTTATTTCTAAAATGAAATGTTCACTACAAATAAATAGACAAACATCGATTATTTCACCACAGGTTATTCAACAAACTTTTTAGTTTATTTTAGATGTGCAAAATATACAGAAGCACGCAGTCTAACTTTGCAATTATCCTCATCCCGTTAAAAATTTGTCAAGACTTTTAACTAAAATTAAATTAAAATTGGTAAAAAAATTACTTTTTGTAATGAATTTTTTTTTACAATGAAACTCATTGCAAAGAAGGAAAAATAAAAATTATTTTTGTGCTTCGATAATCGTTTCGGGGTGAAAAGCAAAAGAATGCAAGATTTTCCAGACTTATTCTAAAGAATTTAAAGAAAAATATGCCATTTATATTCTTTCACTGCTTATGCAATCACGAAAAACATGGAACTGCTAGCTGCTCAATTTTTGTAACTGACCATTCACTTGGATAAAATGTAGCTTCTTCAGTACACTTCATTCAAATGCGCTTTTCCGAGAATCCTCCCACACATCTTTCGAAGGAAGAGAATAAACCGAAAATGAGGCCGAAGAAAGAAAACAAAGAGGAACTTCTTTTCGTAAACTGGCTAAGAATATGAGTTAAGGGCTTCATATTCCTTAAGGACAGGTGGTAGGGGGAGAGAACTCTGATGGATAGAATATTATTCTTTTCTCAAAAGAAATCTTGAGATTTCAGATATTTTAGATGGAATTCCAGTGTCCGCAAATAGTAACGGTTTCTTGGCAACTATAAATTTTCTTCCCTTTCTTTGTTCTTTCAATAATGATTCGAGATTCAAAGTGAGTGGTTTGAATCACGACGATGACGACATCTGCTGTTGACTGATTGAGATTGAACGATAATCTGTCAAGTTTTAAGTTGCACTTCAATGGAATGAATTTTATGGAACAGAGTACGTACAAAAACAGGCGAATTTCCAATAATACCTAACTTTTTTTCTTGTATCAGCTATCCTGAGAATTGATCGAAGATTTGATTTTTTCGTCTTCTTTAATATAAAGCTAGTCAGTCCAAATCTGAACACCTTAAAGAAGCTGGCAAACATTTTAAATAGTTTCTTAACTTTGCTTAAAATATCATTGACTAATCAGATATTTTTACGAAAATTACGCTTAAGATAATTTGAACTACAACTTTCACTGAGCATGCTTTTCACTATTATAACTTAAAAACTATTTGAATGAAAAATTATACGAAATGTCACTAATGCGGTTATTAGTTTTTAAGTTATTTTTATCAAGGATAATTAAAAATATGTATTTTGAGATGAGGTAGCAGCTGCCATAATTTACTTAGATTATGAAAACGATTATACAAGTTTAAATATGCGTTGATTTTAACTGCATTTGTAGTTTGGTGACCATTTTGTGAATTTCATAAAAACACAAAAAATTAGTGATTAGTTTTTGCTTTGGCAATTCCACTTAGTTTAAAAATACGTTTCTGCTTCGAATGATAAATCTCTTTAATTTTGATTTTACAAAATTTGTCAAATTAAAGGGCTCCACCCCTTTCTCGCTGAAGTACCAACTACCCCCATAAATGCTTCCTGTTTATTTTAAAATAATTAAATATTTTAAAGACCGAAAAAGAAAAACAGAAATTGTTTTTGGGAAGATGGTTTTACATAATAATAATGTATTTTTAAGAATACGATTAAAAGTGTTTTTTTTTTAAATATGTTTTAGTTTTAAAGTGAAAATATTCAAACTTAAAAAGCAGAAATTTTTTTTTAAACTATATGTTTCTGTGTATGCTGTATTTCTTAAAACACGATTAAAATAGTTTTTGGAGTAAATTTTTAAATTTTAAAATAAATCATTACTATTTTAAAGACGTTGTATACTTGTTACTAAAAAAACAAGAGCAAATGTTTTAGAGAAAAAGGTTCTATAATAAAAAATTTTTACTTTTGAAGACACTATTGAAATATGTTTTGGAATATTTTTTAGCATTAAATTTCTGCTTAGAAATAATACTTATCATGATATTTCTTAAAAATGAAAAAAAAAATACATTAAGATTTTCAAATGAGGGACATTACGAAAAAGAATTTTGAAAAATCACTTGGTTATAAAGGATTTTAATATTTACAGAAATAATTTAAACTCATATTATCACCCTGCATATACTCCATAAAAGGAAGGAATAGTTTACAAAAAATTACTTTCAGTAATTTTTACTTGTTCTCGATCCATTGCATTTATTCCTAATTTTCCATTTTAATTCCTTTTTTTTGACAAGTGGAGACCAAAGTATTTAATGTGACCTTCAAAAAATTTTTCCCGCATTTTATTTATCGCACTTATATGCATTCTTTTTTTTGAAATATTATTTCATAGTTTTTGTGGTTAATTTGAACTCATTTTGAGTTATAAGTCATTTAATAAAAGAGCAAATAATCCAGAAGCCTCCGCTATCAAAGTCAAGATAAGAAAATGTTTTTTAAACACTGAATTAGGAAGAGAAAAAAGTTTTTAACTTTTTTTTTATTTGAGAAAAAGAGATGATGATTAGTTTCTCAAATATTGGATGCATTTAATGGGACGTCTAAAAGTTACCCCTGAGGAGAAAACTAGATTTGTATTTTTTTTTTCCTCATTATTATTATTCCAAACTTTAACTTTTTCCCTTTATGTACAAAAAAAGTAGTTAGACATTATTTTTTTATCATTCCATGCTTGTCGTTATACATGACGATTTGTTTATCATTGGTTAATATTGTACCAAGAAACTTTTTTTCGTAAAAAAAAAGAAGAAAAAAGAGAGATTTTCTTATCTTAGGAATATTCTTTTTTTCCTGGGAATTAACTGACAAAGTCCAGAAACAACAGTGGGAATGTTAATGAATCACATTTAGTTTGAGAATCATCTGCCGAGCAGACGATAAATGAATAAGAATCAAAAAGAGAAAGAAAAAAAAGAGTCGTTCCGTTTCTTTATCTGATTCATTAGCGTTATCGTGTCGTGCGACTGGACGAATGAAAATGGCGCTGTAAAGATAAAACGGACTATCGGAGTATTTAGTTTTGTTTTTCTTTT